TTTGAGTGTGTGCGTGTGTGTGCGTGAGTGTGTTTGAGTGTGTGTGTGTGTGTGTGCGTGAGTGTGTTTGAGTGTGTGTGTAAGTGTGTTTGTGTGTGCTAGTAAGTAATATAATATAAAATATATATGATATAATATAATATAATATAATATAATATAATATAATATAATATAATATAATATAATATAATATAATATAATATAATATAATATAATATAATATAATATAATATAATATAATATAATATAATATAATATAATATAATATAATATAATATAATATAATATAATATAATATAATATAATATAATATAATATAATATAATATAATATAATATAATATAATATAATATAATATAATATAATATAATATAATATAATATAATATAATTTAATGACTTATTTTATTCGTTCATTCATTTATTCATGTGACACTTGACTTAATCAATTGTCTAGTTGCTTTTGCTGTTGGCTGCTCATTCATTCATTTATTGACTTGTTAATTTATTCATTCATTCTACTAATTCGGTTTTTTTTAATAAATCAATTCAATTCAATTCATTCGTTCGTTCGTTTGTTCGTTCGTTCATTCATTCATTCATTCATCATTTAGTAAATTGTAAAACTTTTTAATATTTGTAAAGTCATCACATTTAAACATCAAACAATTATTTTATAATAACTTAGAAGACATTAGGCATTGAATTACTATATACATGTGTGTATATATATATATATATATATGTGTGTGTGTGTGTGTGTGTGCGTGTGTGTGTGTTGCGTGGGTTTGGAAAGTCACTTGTTAGGTGTAAGCGTATCTTATCTTATAAGCATTGTTTTAAATTGCTGTATGCATGAATGTATGTATGTATGTATGCTGCATATATGTATGTATGTATATATGTATGAATGAATGGATGGATGGATGGATGAATGAATGAATAAATGAATGAACGAAAGAACGAACGAACGAATGAATGAATGAGAGAATGAATAACCTACACACAGCCGTCTACGCCGTCTTTGTCATGTTCATGCCCTCTCGCTTCCTCTTCACCACAATAATTATCCTCATCTTGCACCATCATAGCGAATATGAACCGCCACCAAACTGGCTCCAGTACATCATTTTGAATAAATTAGCAACAATCATCGGTATGAGTAACAAAACGATGTGGATATCTCTAAAAATTCACCCCCTCAAGGTTAAAAATGGAAATTTCGAACATAAATATTCAGAAATCTATAAAGGTCATTCAAGACGGTATTGCAGGCGAACGCCTGATTCTTAATTTAGATAGTGATCTGGTAAAACGAGAGCCTAATGCAAACAGCAGAACAATGAATCGACTTATCGAGACTTTGAAATATTTAAACGGTTTCTGCGATGATAGTGAGAATCCAGTCATCTACCAAGACAGTCACACTCCTAAATTTGGAAATTACTTTTGCAGAAGTAAATCACAGATGACAATCTGAAATGATAATTTTAACCTAAAACCTAAAATCAAACAAAACCTAAAATCTTGAAACCTGAAAAAACTTATCCTAAATCAGAATGAACGATCTAGCTGCGTTGGTCAGATTGGTACCTCTCTTAGCTCAGATAAACGAAACTGAATACTGAAATGAATTTATTGATTAATAAAAGCTTATGAATTGAGATTTCAAATGTGATTAATTGATTTCTGTTGTATATTTTTTTCAATATCTCGACTTTCGGAGGGCTATGGTTGTTGTGGTTTCTGCCGGATTCCAAGCCAGATGAATTGGATTAGAATTTTTTAATTTTTTTTTATAAACAGTTTAATAGTATAATATCACTTATATATATATATATATATATATAATATATTAATTTTTTTTATAAATAGTTTAATAGTATAATATAATAGCATAATAGTTAATTGCATGTGACGTGATACATGTCAACAAATACACAGTCTAAATAGAAGTTAATAAACAACTTGAATTTTATCCAAAAAAAAATATTTCATTTTTAATTATATTATATAATCGTATAAAAATGAGTTTTAAAAAATTTTTCATAGAAGTCTTACAGGAATCAAATTAGCTACCAAAAAAAGTATCTGTCATAAAAATGAAATGCGGTATAGTATTTATAATGTATTATTTCTTTCAATATATAAATTCGTTTATGAATGGAGAACGAGACGATACAATATTTGGTGTTGTAAACAACAACACGGAGGTTCAAATTTTAAACAGCAGCACAAACCATTCCTATCCCTCCGTATCCATAATTTCATCAGATCCAGAATCACATAATCTTTTTTCAAAAGCAAATTCTCAGATAATAACACACGCCAATTCAACGAACTTCAGGCAAAATCCATTTAAATTGATCTACCATCATCATTCCTACAACCACCTCTACATGATGAAAAGAATGGAGCGAAGTAAAACATTCGAACTTGATATGACGAATGTACCTAACTCAACCAACAATAGCAAAACTGCTGATGAGGAGGAAGAGGAAGAGGATGGCAAAGAAGAGGAAGAAGAAGATGAGTTTGACAAATCTTGTCCCATTCACAAATCCCAAATTTTTCGCTTGAGCAACAGAGATGAGGAGTTAAAAAATTATGGCTTCCTTCAAGTTTTGAAGAAAGAAAATAATGGTTTGTTATAATTATAATTTTGACATAAAAATTAAAAGTTGACAAATTGAATAAATATAATGTTCCCAGTTATTCATTCATTTATACAGATTTATTTGTTTAAATTTGAAAACCTTTCAAAGGTGAAAAATCATGGCTTGTCGTTTGTGGCAACGATTGGTCAGACTTCAGCTACACGCTGGCCTGCAGGGCTCTTGGGTTCGAAAAGGGCAAGAAGGTGACCTCCATGATGGGTTTCCAGGAGTACGGTAGGGAAAAAGTTGATCGGGTTGGCGTGCACTGCCAGGAGGTACATGGAAAATTTGAAAACTGCTACGAAGAGATGAAACCGTCCGATCAGTGCATTGGTTTATATTTCAATTTCGACGCGTTTGTTCTTGTGATAATATTTGATCTTTAAAGTAATATTTCCTTGCAATTTCGTTTTCATTTTCAGTATTTTTACAATTTTTTTCAAATTCAATCCGAAGGTGAAAAATTCAGACCGGCATATCTGCACTGTCTCTCGTGGTCAGACAGGAGACTGAGATGGTTGCAGACATACCACGATGGCGTGCACAGACTAGCCTACTACATTTCTCTGGAGGGGAAGGCTTACATGATCGCAGCTACTGGTCTCGAGTTATTTCTCGTTCATTTAAGTATTTCAATCTACTATTTTAGACTAATTTTCTCTAATATTTTGGTTTTTCCTTCTGTCTTAAATTTATCTCTTTCCTTTTAACTTTATCATTTCCAATCTATCGCTTTCAAAAATTATTGTTGAAATTAATTCTACGTAGATTATGAATTGGTAAATATTAAAAAATGACTTGCATACGAATGATGAACAAGTAAAAAAAATAACTTGCATCAGTCGGTTGGAACCAGCAGAGCACAGACCTGTTCTGTCGTCAGAAGAAGCGAACTTCAGGCACGTACGTCGTCAAAACTCTCAAAAAAGTTCGACTCGTCTTTGCTATCGAATGTCAAAACGTCAGTAAGGAATCAATAAGTCTTGAGAACTGTCTCTTCTGGAAGGTTCTTTCGAAAAAAGTCGTCGCCATTCACTGCTACTTAAACTACGTTCACGATATTCAATGGCAAGAAAAAGGTATTTCTATTCAGCAGACCAGCAGTGGAATTGTAAACCTGACGATGGTGACAAGTCAAATAATAAAGTTTATCCTGATAAACGACTTGAAGAATATTGATTTTGACTGTGAGGAGTTGATTGCTGTGCCGGATAATGTCTCGCAAGTGATGATCAATTGCTTGGATTCTGCATTGACCAACATCAATTTTTCAATTGCTGCCTACAAGCCTGTGTCTCTGAGGTGAGTTTTCGCATTTATAAATCTTTAAAAGCTTTAAATCTTTTCAAGAATATATTATATTTTTAACTGCCATCATTAGGGATTACAATTTTTAATTTTAGCGTTAAAAAATGTTTACAAAATGCGTGTCATTATAACTGTTAAATGAAAGTAGTGTCGTGTGTCATTTTGTTTTAGTAATTCTGTTGTTAACATATCTTATAATTAATATTGATTAGAAACATATATTAATTTATTGAATTTTAATTTACTATTTCATTTTTAAAAACTGTTTATTGAAGTCGTTTTTTGATCATATTTTTTCAAATCGTCTTTTCAGGTACACAAACAGTTGCAGGAAAAACAGTTCAGACAAATATTCCTTCGTTAATTTCACCTTTTTCCATCTGAACGAAGGCTTAAATTCCTCTGGTGAATTAAATTTCAAAGTAAAAAAATTCAGAAGAAATTTGAAATTAAATAAATAAAATTAAATAATAGGTGATGCTTGGCAGGTTTATTGACGAATGAATGAATAAATGAATGTATGAATGAATAACAGAAAATTTATGTTTTTTATGGGATGAAATAATCGTTGAAGTTTTTAATAACGCGGCAAATAGTAATATATATGGTACTATAAAATGTACAGCTTTATCTACAAACTTTAAAAACACATACAAGCCACAGTAATCATTCAGTAGAGTAGTAGTTTAGGTTAAAATTTAGTTTAACTCTACTGAAACATTTGCTAGATTTAATTCTAAATGATGAGATAGAATTTCAGTTTTACGACTGACGTATGTATGACCATTGATGAATGATATTTTTGCCATTAGGTTTCCATCATATCGGGGACAGCTATTTCTCTATTGGTCCTAATCCTCGCACTAGCGGGGTACGTACTTATACAAACGAAAGCCAAAAAGTCGGAAAAACCAGAACAAATCCTTTCAAGTTTCCTAATTTCTTCAATAAAAGATTTGAAAAAACAGTCAGAGACAGCATCTGAAGAGCAATTGGAGTTAGAATTCAGAAATATGGAACAAACAAAATCTAAGGCAACGAAGTTGAAGCCTTTAACGAAACAAATCAAAGGATCGAAATCCGTGGCAGCTCCTTCACCCAACGTTACCATTATTAAAAAAACATAAAACCAAAATTTTTTAATCGGAAAATTTTTAAAAATTTAAAATTTAATTTCGCAGGCTGTTTTTTAAATAACGCACTTGAATCCGCATCAACCGCACGAACAAAATCCGCAGAGTTTTGAGAATCTTTTATCATTGCGGTTATCCGATTGGGGCTCTAGTATGTATGTGTGTTTGTATGCATGTATGTATGTGTGTGGTGTATGTGTGTGCGTGTGTGTGCATGTAATTTCTCAGAAGCCAGTTCAACTAGTAAATCAGATATGTCATTTATTGGAATGATTTCCAAGTTTATTTAATTTGTAATAAATCACACATATATCTGCAATGAATGTATTACATTAATTTCATTAAATTTGAAACAAAATCTCTGAAACTCAAATTTACTAATTAAAGTCATAAACACTGAAATATCAAGTTGGCAAGTCTTAAATTACCAAAGAAAAATCTTATTACATACAAGTATTGCGAATACTAGTACTACTTATAATTATAAATACTTACCACTGTCGTTAGCTTACAAAGTATTATGTATTCCATACCATATTACTATTATATGCAAGCATTATTTGGTATGTGTTTATGTATTGTTTGGATTAAAATTTTTGGCGGTAATATGGATACCATTATTTTTTCCCTTTCGGTTTCACATATCTTTTTGTTGAGGCCCTCTTTGTAGTGTCGTTGGCGGCCTTTGGCTGTTTCTTCTTCAAGATGGGTCTTTCGATTTTCGAGTTCTCTTCTTTCTCGATGGCTTCGACTTTTTCTTGGATGTTCTGTAGGAATGGGAGTCTGAATCCTTCAAAATCAACTCTCCAACCTTCGAAAATTTGTAAATGTGTGGATTGGTTTAAAGACTGCTGTTGTTTCGGTTGAAGAAATGAAAGTGGTGGTTAGAATTTAAAGATTTGGACATGTTTTTGCTCATTAATTCAATTAAACGTGTTAACGCTGATTGATAAGTTATAAATTTGATAATTATTATTAAAGATTTCTGAGGTGTATAACTCATCGCAGGTGTATAATTTATCTAATTGCATAAGTATAATTCATCCAAAGTGTATAATTCATCCAAAAGCACATTAAGTGTAGAAAAATTTCATAATTTTGTAAGAAATTTAACAATAAAATAATGAAAAAAAAATTATAATTTCCCTGACCCAAACGACGTCTTCGTTCATTTTTCTCTGATATAATTTCTTCAGTAGTTTTCTGTCGCGTCCAAACATTCAGTGACCTGTAGACGAGTTTCTCATCGATAGAGTCATTAATCGGTTTTGATGACGTCATTTCTATCATGTGTCGGTAGGGTATCGTCGGTATGCAGCGCTCCGGTATTATCGGATCGGGTGGAAATACATCTTTATTTTCCTAGGCGAAGGGTTGAAAATAAAACGTTGTTGATTTATTATTTTTAAATTATGAAATGAGTAAATTCAAATGTAAATTCAAGTTTTGTCAATTATAATCTCTAGAATGATTGTAAAATGTTGAAAGTTATTGAATTTTCAAGTGTTACCTCTGGGAAGGACATAGGAGGAAGATTGATTTTAATTTTTTTAGAGGTCTTCATCAATTTCTTCTTCTCAGCAGGTCGTGGGACATCTTTCAAATAGTTGAAAATGTAATAATCCGCAAATGCTGCAGCCAACTCCATCACTCCATATTCTGGATTATTTGGGGGTATTGTTCCGTATTATATTCGCAGTAACTTTTGTTACCTTGTCCATTAATTTTTATGTTTCCGTCAATAATTAGTTCTTTAGTTATTTCCAATTTTTTAAATTTTGCGAATCATTCAAACCTTTTCTATTGACAGCATCAATCTTTGCCCTGGCCGCTATCAAACTTTTCACGATGTTCAGAGATTTGCTCTCAACAGCCTTCATCAGTGGAGTGCTCTTATTCATGGATGTGTTGTCAGTTTTGGCGCCTTTCTGCAGCAGGAATTGAACTATATCGATGTTTCCCACGTGGCAGGCCAGGTGTAGGGGGGTCCACAAGAAATTATCTCTCACGTTCACATACGCTCTGATCATAACATGGTTTAGATTGTAGAAAAATGTCAAAAAAAATAATTATTTGTAAATTTAAAAATATTTAGAAAGCGTAATCAAACCAACAAACCCCTTAGATACAAGTATCTTAACTAAATTGATATCCGAGTTTAAGATAGCAATCATAAGGGGAGTCCTGTAGAACTTATCTCTTCCGTTTACGTCGTACTCCTGGCTTTCGAAGGCGTCTTCAATGGTGTTGATATCACCTTTTCTTATGGATGCCGTCATGTTAATACTTTTAGGCTCTGGTTTATTGAGGTACCAGTAACTATCATCTGTGAAGAAATTTGTTGGGACGCGATCCCGATCAAATCGCAGCGGGTCGTGCAAATCCTGGTGAACTTTCACGAATTCAAAACGTCGGTGGCTGTCTGGAATTTTGCAGATTGGTAGGACGGGCTTTCCTCGTAGCGCTTTCAATTTTTTCATTTTTTTAATTTTTTTGGCATATTTTGTTAGTTGAAATTTTTTCGGAATGTATTCCTTGCCTAAGATGAATTTGACGTAGAGAACGTTGTTTTCGCCCGAGAAGTGCCTCCTTATTAATTCCTTCACCTTCTCCACCTCGTCCTCAGGGAATGGAAATTTAAACTGATTTGCGACCTTTTCAACAAAAAATAGTGTTCGCAATTGTAAAAAAAACTATTAAAGTTTAATTTTTATGGTTCAAATATGACATGCTTTTATTTGAGATTCATACCGTCCAGAAATTCTCAAGAGCTATTGTTCCTGTTCCCTCGACATCATACTTCGTGAACTCTTCTAGAACCTCATTCTCTCTGTAATAGAGGAAATCGTGCAGTTTGATGACCCACAAGGGCGGATTTCTTGGCTTTCGTTTCTTACGTGGAGCAAATTTTTCAACTTGTTTGCAGGCTTTGGCCGTTAACTTGAAGCCTTTTTTCTTCGCTAGTTGGAAAGGAGTTAAACCACCTCTGTTTTTTAAAAGACCGTTTGCACCTTTTTATGTAAATAAAATACTATTAGCGCATAGAAAAGAAATGCGAATTACAAAAATTTAAACTACAATTTACCTCTCTGACCAGCAAACAGGCAACACATGTTCTTGTCACTGCTGGCTGCGCAGTGCAATGGGGTGAGAGCGTGGCAGTAGGCGTGGCTTGTCTGCTGGTTGAAATCAGCTCCGAACGCGGACAACAACTTTGGAAAATTTATTTTTCAGTAGATCATCAATTAAACAGACATCCGCAGAATAACACATTTAATAGTTTTATATATTAAATGAAAAATATGAATGTTAAATTTTATATAAAAGAAGACTGATATGCAGACTATTAACAGTTCGATGCTTCCAGCCTTGGCGGCCTCATGTACTGCGTGCAATTTCGTTTTATCCATGGTCTCGTTGATGTTGTTGATTCCTATCTCGAGAATCGTCTTGGCCACTTTCAAGCTACCAGCTGCTGAAGCTGCCATGATGGCGGTCCGTCGGGTGTTCTGCAGTTTTTAAGTTGCAAAAATAAATATAAGCGATAAACGAATAGTTAAAAATGTATGGCTTTTGTCGTATGTTTCTTAAGCTATCTTAATTCTGCACTAGTTCATTTATTTGTTGAATAACAAGCTGCTATAATGAAAATTAAGTAATAACACGGTAAAAACAAGCCTTTCATATAATTCATCTTTGATAGCAGGAGTTAAGTTATTTAAGATAAAATAGTACACCACCAAGCATTTAAACTTGAGTTGCATGCAACTATAATTAAATGAAAAAGATGATTAAGGAACGTACGAGGTCTTGTAAGTTAGGATTGGCCCCGTAGCTGAGCAGCAGTAGGCACAGTTCCTCGTTGTTAGCAGCATTCTCACAGTGGGCCACAAATGCCGGCAATCCTTCGTTTGGTGAAAGTTCGAAAAATTTGTGTAACACGTTTTCGTTTTTTATTTGTTTATGTTTGTTTGTTTGTATATGTGTTGATATTGCAGAGTATTTGTATAGGTGTGTTGTATATATACCATGTTTGTTGTACGTGTTAATTGGTGTGTTGTACATGTACCTTGTTTGTTGTACTTGTTGATTGGTGTGTTGTACATGTACCTTGTTTGTTGTACTTGTTGATTGGTGTGTTGTACATGTACCTTGTTTGTTGTACTTGTTGATTGGTGCGCCATTCTCGATGCACATTCCAGCACATACAACATGCCTCTTTGATGATCCAATGCAATAGTATACTAGACCTGTAAATGTTGAACAGCAGAACTATTTAAATTGTTGACTACGAAAAACATTTAATTATCTTTACAATCTGTCTGAAGAACTGACAACTCTGTAGCTATATTGATGATAAACAAATGAGTAAGCAAACAAACGAAATTTAAACAAACAAACGAACGAACAAACGAACGAACAAACAAAAGAACAAACGAATGAACAAAAAACATACAAACAAACAAACAATTTCAATTCAATCAATTTCAATCAATTAGCTTATAAAGCGCTATTTTCGTTTGACTGACTGGTATGAAAAAAAGATCTACATAAAAATCATGTGAACCGTTGCCTAAGTCATCGTCAGTAGCCATGTTAGTGCCAGCTTCAATGAGCAGCTTGAGAGATTCAACGTGGCCGAACTCGCACGCTCTTGTGGCGGCGTTTCTCCCTTTCAGATCGACAACGTTTGGGTTGGCTCCTCTCTCTAATAAATAAGTCACCATCGATTCGTCGTTGCGGTCCGCTGCTATGCCCAACGTTGTTCCTTGGCAGGGTATTTTTAAACTTACGTGGGCATATAGGTATAGATACATTTGGTTTGGGTATCAGAGCGTGTGCTTATTACACCACATAACATACAACAATTCCGTTTTTACGCAGTTTAATGTAAGATTGCGTTAAACAAACTTCCAATTTGGTGGAAGAATATTGCAATGAACAAAACATTCAGTGGAATACATGATGAAAACTACCAATGTCGTCGTAAGGATGGACATAATTGATGAGGTTGTCGACGCCGTGTAGCAGCAGCCTGTCAATGCCCTTCCTGTCTTGCTCCCGAATGCACTGAGCCAGTTTGCAAAACTGTGCCAATTCCAGCACATCCAATGCTATTAGCAGTGGCACTGACTGGTCCAAGAACTTGCGGGTTTTTGAAGAGAGGAAGAAAGATTTGTTCAGTCAATTAATCGTTTATTCATTTGATTTTATGTTTTTTTTTATATTGCTAGGAGAATTTTGTTAGAACGTTGTCTAAAATTGAATTACGAATTTTATCACAGTGAAGTTTGTGATATTAACGAAGATGATACGGTACCTATACAGATATTTAGAACTATGAAACATGATAAAAAGAACAAATATAACTATAATAACAATTGGGTATCATCACAAGTATTACAATAAATAATGATATAAAACATTAATAATATTTGTACCTTGTTCTTGCTCTTTTCCCAGATACTCTGCTTTATAGCATCCATCCTTAGAATGTTATCAGTGGCGACTGTGGCTGTTGAAGCGTGCGGGCCTGACATCGCCACTATTTTATTTCAATCGCTAGAGCAGGCTCTGGAAAAAGTTCGTTTTCTTGTATAACCTCACCCTCCAGACTAGAGAATTAGATTATTATTTACTTCTTATACAGATAAACTTTTAAAACAGTTTCAAAGATATTTATTTATATTGAGAAAACTACTGCTTATATCTATAAACGTCATTACATTTAAAAGCGAACTAATTAAGTTATTGTTTCAATTATATACCAGGTTAATGAACGTACGAGCGGGTGAACGAACGAATGAACAAACGAATGAACGAACAAAAGAACGAACAAATGAATGAATGAATAAACGAACGATCAGAGGATTCTATAAGTTATCTATTAATAGAAGTGGAAACTTCATGATAATGGAAAGAATGGACGAGAAAATGTCGCCAATTGCGATTTTATTAACAGTTCCATCGTCGTCGTCGTCGTCATCATCTTCCCTATCAACATTTTTTTTATCATTACGTGATTATCGTCTGTAATAAATAACGCAATTTATATTAGTATATTTCATCATTATCAATCTTTTTCGCATTAATCATCGGCGTTATCATCGTCTTCGTCGTCATCTCTATCATTTTTATCACCATTTTCATCATCATCTGCTTTATCGTCAGCACACTGTCACAAATTTCAATGTAGTCTGTTTATTATCAAATGTATGCTCGAGGACAGGCAGTTTGGAGATTTCAATCTTCACAAATCTTCCAAATCTATCAATGTCATTAGTTTATAAAAAAAACTTTAATTCAGTGTTGCTTTGAATTAACACTTTAAAATTATTTAATTATATATGCAAACATGTGCTTCAAATTTGTGTATGAGTTTCGTGGAGGATTCTCACTCAG